AGAAGAGTTGAAAATATCTTTAATTGTAGATGACATGATGGTATAGTTAGAAGCCCCAAAGCTATTCATGAAACAAAAAAAACTTCTCAAAGTAATAAAGGAATACAGTAAAGTGATGGGATACAAAATCAACATCCAAAAATTGATAACATATTTATCTATGAACAACAAGCTGACAGAAGTAGAACTGAAGAAAATAATCCCTTTTAATATAGCCACAAAATATATAAGATACCTAGGGATAAACCTAACCAAGGAAGTCAAAGACCTTTACAAGGAAAACTATGAAAATCTTTAAAAAGACATTAAAAAGGACACAAAGAAGTGGAAGGACATTCCACGTTCCTGGATTGGAAGAGTTAATATAGTCAAAATGGCAACTTTATCCAGATTAATCTGCATATTTAATACCATTCCAGTCAAATTACCAGATACATTCTTCACAGATTTAGAAAAGATAATCATAGAATTTGTCTGGAATCATAAAAGACCCCATATTGCCAAAGCAATCCTGTGCAAGAAGAGTACAGTAGGCAGCATCTTACTCCTTGACTCCAAAATATATTATAAAGCTGTGATAATCAAAACAGCATGGTATTGGCACAAAAACAGATAGATGAACCAATGGAACAGAATAGAGACTCCAGACATAAACCCCAAAACATACAGCCAACTGATTTTTGACAAAGGATAGTAGTCAATTCAGTGGGAAAAAGAAAATCTCTTTAGTAAATGGTGCTGGAAAAACTTGGTATCGTACCTGCAGAAAGATGAAACTGGACTCCCATCTTTCACCAATAACAAAATTCAACTGGAAATGAATCTAAGATCTAAAACTTAAGACCTCAAACTGTAAAACTACTGGTGGAAAACACTAGGGAAACTCTGGGACACATTGGACAAGCAAAAACTTTTAAAATAAGACCTCCCCCCCAAAGCACAGGCAGTAATCCCTAAAATAGACAAGTGGGATTATGTCATATTAAGAAGTTTCTGCACAGCAAACGACACAGTAATTAGTATGAATTGACAACTCTCAGAATGGAAGAATATTTTTGTGAACTATGCCTCAGATAAGGAACTGATAACCAGAATACACTGGGAATTCAAGTGACTACTGAGTCGAGAACTTCAACCACCTAGTCAGCCATGTGATATCCAATCACTTTAACTACCACACTACCAGTTAGCCCCCAAAGTATAAACTTTAAAAATCATTTTAAAAATATAAATATTAACATGGATCCCTACATGTATTCACACGTGTATAAATACATAGCAAAGGCCCTAGAAGGCTAAGGGTTCTAGGTTGAAACCAGAGGCCACGATTTTTACCTGGCAGTTGTTTTGTTTTGTTTTGTTTTTCCTCAGAGTAAACCTTTTAAAAATAATTTTTTTAAGAATATTTCATATTGTAATATAGGAACCAACTTGGGCTCATAGGCCTTTGATATTGTTAAGTAATTTTCAATGATGAAAATTCTGATGATGATCGGGAAATTCTTTCATTGGTGGAATTATTTCTCCAATTTCCATAATGGTATCACCTGGAAATATTCTGGGCTTCTTTTAAACAGTGGCATATGGTTTTGTGTGCACATAATACTTGAGGTAATAATGATTAATCCAGGCAGGTATAAGCACATGAGTAAAAGCAAAGACACTATATTGGTATACTATATAGACCATATTCCTCCAGGGAGTTCTGTTTTACAAAAATTTATTCCAGAATTTCTCCAAAGGCCACAGCCTCTATGGGGGAAGCACTGACTTGCAAGGGCTTAGCTCTTGGTCTTTCAGCCATCTCCTTCTAAGCCCCCGCAGCTGCTACAGCCAGTTTCTCATCGGACGTGTACCCACCATATTGACGCTGGTTACCTGGCAGTTTAATGAAGAACTTTAAGATAACAGGGTACTAGTTTCCATCACTGTTACACATTTTTATATAGATAAGAATGAAACCTGGGGAATATTTATAAGATATTGACATTGATGACACTAAGGATGTAAGCATCAGATGAGTTAGAATAAAAATCTTGTTTAGTCTCTTATAAAGTTGAATGTCTTAGCTCATTTTAGTTTGCCAAGGACCTGTTGACCTAATCACTTTGAAAGGAGGAATGTTACTTACAGAAAATCATATTTAAAATTGTTGACTTGAAAATTTTACAGAATGTTATTTGTATCAGCTCTTATGATAATTAACCTGCAGATTTATGACTTACTAATCTAGTTCTAATTACTTAAGCCAGTATTGGAAAAAGCTATATACTCTCTTACAATTAAATTTATAAGTTCATTGTCTCTTCTTCAAATGCTTTTTAAACAACTTTGAAACACAATGCAGAATCTTGATTATCTTTGTCATTCAGCCTAAAATATAAATAAATTTCATGTGGGGAATTCATAAAGTACATTAAACGTTTATATTACTGAACACACGTTGAACATAGAATGGTTTTTACTGCTTACTAGGTATGTTCAAATTTCTAGAATTTTTAGGATCCCAGACCTAGTTCTTTCCAACATGGAAAGAACCCCCCCCCCTCTCTTTCTTTTCTTTTTGGAGAGTTTTTTTTCCTTGTTTTTCTTGTTTTGCTATACAGCACGTGCACTCACCAGAAAGACAGAGAGATAGAAAGCAAGAAATCACCCACCGGGGGGGAGGGCCACACCGTAATCCCTTCTCCTCCATTCTCCTCTCGGGGTCTTGGGCACGCACACACACGTGCCTGGCGTGAGTTTAAGCCACCAGTTCTGGGACTTGAACCAGTCAGCTACATGGGAGTTCAGCAACATAGCCATTATGCTAACTGCTGGTCCCTAAAGTTTATTTCTTTCATGAGAGAGGGAGGAAAAGGAGGGAGGATACCCTTGGTGGGGTCTTGCCAGGGACGATCCTCCCCACAGCCTTCTAGCCAGAATGACAGGTGCTCCTGAACCAGGGGCCTGCCACAGGGCTCCAGCATTACACAGTAGCACCCCACTGCATGTGGCATTGCAACTGGGCAAAACCCCCTTTTCTTAATCGTCCCTATACAAATTCTCCCCACTTGTTTGAAACTACTCTTGTGGTTTGAGAAGTATAACCTCTTTCTCTCTCTCCTACTTATATTTTTCTCTCTCTTCCCCCTCACTGTCTTTCTCTTCTGTTTTCCTTTCTGTCCACAATGTATATCTCATTCCTTGCAGACTAACACAGACCTCACAGGTAGAGAGTTCTTTAACCCTGGTCTGCATAATTTTTAGTTCAAATTTGCAGGACTTGTTACATCTCATATAATCATACATGATTATAGATAACTTTATGTTTGCAGACCTCTGTTGGCCTAACAGAAGAGAATTTGTTTTCAAGATTACATACTAGGAATCCCTTTTCCATGTGTAAATGGACCTAGTTCCCAGTTGTAGTGATTGAATTTTTACCTTAAGGGATTTTTTGTCACCTTCAAGGAAAATTCTCTGTATTTGGTACCTCTGGGTCTTCTGCTGTTATCAAAAGTATATCTTCGTATTTCACAGTTTTATAAGTTTAACTCACTTGTTACCACTCATGATGTAAACTGTTTGCTTAAAAGGCTGTGGAATTCATCATTGCAGGTAAATTTGACTTTTTAACCCTTGTATTTTTCACAGAAAGTCCACTCATCCTTCAGTCACCTTTGAAAACTGTTATAAACTCAAAAGAAACAACGCCAGTGGCACCAAATGCACCTGAGGTACTGACATGAAATATGCTGTACGGGATATTCATTTCACATTGAGTGGGAAGTGCCTGTTTTCCTCTTGAAGAAATACTTGGGTCACAGTTCAGCTTCAAAAACCTTTTAATATGCTTTTAAAAGTGTGCTATGTAAATCTGTTTATTTCTACAATTAAAATAATTCACTTGAATTTTCTAAAGCTACAAAAATGGGAACGAATATATTTTTCCATCCAACAAGCTGGAAGAGATTTTTGTTTGTTCAGTATTAGCCAGGCCAGCCCAGTAGCCTTGTGGTTAAGGAAGCTGAACACGGCCAACTGCGCAGTTTAAATCCTGGTCCTAGTGGCTTGAGAAGCACACTAGATGCATGTGTGTGTGTGCCCAAAATCCAGACAGAATGGAGAAATGGAGGAGAAGGGATTGCAGCATGACCTTGCCCCATTGGGGTGCTTTCTCCTCCCTCTCTTTCATCTCTCCCTAGTGAACATATGTACCCTCTGGCAAAAAAAAAAAATAATAATAATAATAATAATAGCCATCATTGATGAAGGGAAAGGGAAATAAGTACTTTTGTATATTGGTAATTTCCATGTAAAATTAGTCTAGTGTTTGGAAACATGGTTTGAAAATAAGATAAAATATTTGTCTAGATATTTCTCTGGAACCTAGCCCATTCTGGATTAGTGACATTCCAGAGGGTAACAATCTTAACTCCTTAAGAGGCTTGTATTTAAAAAGACTAGATCCAGACCCAGCCTCTGTGGTACAATATCATACTGGACTGCAGAGCTGGAAGCCACATGCCAACCTCAGTTCAAGTCCTTGGTCCTATTGTCCTAAAATATTCTAGGTGCTAGGTGCCTGAAGCAGAAGGATTACAGCATGACCAGATTCTGGGGGCTACCTCTCTCAGTCTGTGTTTCTATCTCTGTTTGTCTCTCTCTTTTTAGGTGGGGGGGAGAATTTTGCTATAGGGTACGTGCTCTTGCCAGAAAGACAGATAGAAACTGAGAAATCACCCCCCGGGGGGGGGGGGGGGATGGCCACACCATAATCCCTTCTCCTCCATTCTCCTCTCAGGATCTTGGGCATGTATGTGCACCGAGTGTGAGTTTAAGCCACTGTGTCGGGGACTCGAACTACAGTCGACTACATGGGAGTCCATGACATAGCCATTAAACAGGGACCATGTGCTGGTCCCTGTTTATCTCTCTCTTATGTGCATGCATGCACTCTTATGAATAATAACAACAAAAACACTGGATCCAGCCTCATATTCTTGCAGTATAGTCATGCATTGCTTGACATGGGATATGTTCTGAGAAATGCATCTTTTTAGGCAGTTTTATTGTTGCATGAACATCATAAAGTATTTACACAAATCTAGGTGGTATAGTCTTCTACATACCAAGGCTATATGGTATTTCTTATTATAATTTATGGGCCCACCATTCTAGATGCAGTCTATTGTTGACCAAAATGTGACTATACAGAACATAACCATATCCTTTTGTTACTTTCATAAATCGATTGAAGAATAGGAAATATATACAAAGGGACTTTAAAAGGTTTCTGGAAAAATAGAATTAAAATGTGACTGTATTTTGGTGCAAAAAATTTTTAGAATTCACACATAGGTTTTTCATCATACACATTTTTCATAAACTTATTGAGACCTTCATATTTCACTACTGCAATTTATCACTTTCTATCTCTCTGGTGATTGCATGCACCCTATAGTAAAAAACTCTCTTAAAAAATATTGAAGTAAAAAGCTCTTTTAAAAAATATTAATAATAATCAGTGCCTGCCAAACCAGCTTGCTAAACTTTTTTTACAAACATGTTTTTAGGTTCTTGAGTCTTTTGATCACCTGCCACCTCTCCCAGAACCACCACCAGCACTATCTGAACTGGTAGACAAAGTCCGAGACACACTTCCTCCCCAGAAGCCTGAGCTTAAAGTGAAACGAGTGTTGAGACCCAAAGGAATTGCCCTGACTTGGAACATCACCAAAATCAACCCCAAGTGTGCTCCTGTGGAAAGCTACCACCTCTTCCTGTGCCATGAAAACTCTAGTAATACGTTGATATGGAAGAAAATTGGAGAAATTAAAGCTTTACCACTCCCAATGGCCTGTACTGTATCTCAGTTTTTAACCTCCAACAAATATTATTTTACTGTACAATCAAAAGACATTTTTGGGCGATATGGACCATTTTGTGATATAAAATCTATCCCTGGGTTTTCTGAAAATGTTACTTAAAGTCTTCAGTGGTTATGTATTATATACATGTTGCTTTGGTTTTTCTCTTTTGAGTTCTTTGTTTACAATGTTACTGTAACACTATTTGCCATTTAAAGGGCCAGTTCAGATTGTGAATCCTTAGTATAGGGACAGTCCTCTCCCAGATATTTATGTAAGTGGCCTATGGTTTCATAAACTTGATTTGTATTTAATGAGTACTTCCAATGGATATATTCTAAAACATGCTGTCATGGACCCATGTTGGAAGTGTGTGACAAACAGTGCTTATGGTGACTGAAGCTGCTGCTTAGATCAGAAGTGCGTGGGTACAAGCAGCCACTGTTTCCTCCGCTGCCAATCAGCTTGGTGACCTGCTTGTGGTCAGTGTAGCTATTTAGCCAACTCTTAGGAAAAATCGGCTCTACTGGGGTGTATCTCCACCAAGACGCTATGAAAAGAAATAATTTCCCATTGAGTTCCAGTTCTAAGAGTGCTATTAATTTGTACTATCCTCTCTTTGGGGGGGGGAAATGGGCTACAACAGTCATTTTGGGAAATAGTCCAGAGGTTTTCCCTAATTCTGTTTATATACTTAAAGATAATAAAACTTGTGAAATGTTATGTGCTGTGTACACAAAATAGTATGGAATATATTTTTTGTTTTTGTTTTTGTTTTTGGAGAGGTTTCTGCCATAGGGCATGTGCGCTCGCCAGACAGAGAGAAACAGAAAGCGAGAAATCACCCCCCAGGGGGGATGGCCATGCCGCAATCCCTTCTCCTCCATTCTCCTCTCGGGATCTTGGGCACGCACGCACACGTGCCCGGCGTGAGTTTAAGCCATTGGGTCCGGGACTCGAACCGTGGTTGACTACGTGGGAGTCCAGCGACGTAGCCAGTATGCTAACTGCTGGTCCCAGTATGGAATATATTATTGACATAAAAGCATTATTTAACCTGTTTCAGTTGAAGAAAATGAAATTTGTCACCATTCAAGACTTTAATTTGCCTATTCCCTAAGTGCTGCCCTTTCCTGGCTGTCAGCACAGCAGTGCTCAGAGAACACAACACTGACGCTGTCTTGGATGTGTCTGCATACCTCCACCTGAGAGAGGCAGCCCAGGCAGCCCCGGAAACTGGCCTGGGAACAGACTTGATGGAAGCAAACCGAATAACTGCTACTGGGATGTGTGAGACAATAACGCTCACAATGTGAAAGATCGTTTTGAAGGAGGGACATTATTTTCTGGTATACAGTGAAAGTTCAGGCCTCTGAGGCTCTGAGAATCAAAAATGCAGTTTTGACTGAATGGTTTTCCTTGGCATTTTGTGAATGCTGTCACATCTACAGTGATAATAAAGCTGTTTGCTCTTTTTATTCCTAATCTCATGTCTGTACCTTAGCAAAAAAGAGCGGGATTCTGGAGACCAGCAGATGGCACAGTGGCTGGACTCCCACATGCTGACTGTAGTTTGAGTCTCAGACCCGCAGCTTGAAACATCAAGTTCGTGTGTGTGCTTGCCCAAAATCCCGAACCATCACGTTCGTGGTCGTGCTTGCCCAAAATCCCGAGAAGACTGGAGAAGGGACTGCAATGTGGTTGCCCCCCCCCCAGGGGTTGATTTCTCACTTTCTGTCTCTAGCAAGGATATGTGCTATATGTATATAAATATAAAATCTTAAAATAAAGAGCAGGATTCTGAATTGTGTCTTGGGTGAGAGCTGCCCTGCATGAGGTCCCATTTCACACTCAGTAATGGCAGGCATCAGCCGATCAGCAGCACAGAACCAGGAATTTACCTGGGCCAGGAGTTCATCCTTGGGTTGCTGTAGATCGACGTCCACTGGCTAGGGGCAGTTCAAAGACTGACATTACAAACGAAGCTCCGG